TTCTACGAGATTATAATTGTCTTAAATTATAACAGACTTATTAAGTTTCAAGAAAGTATCCTTAGTAACAATCCTACCAAAAACATTGCAGTAACAAGTACATTATTCCTTCATATCAGCAAGTTAAAAAAGTTGATAACTCAATAAAATACCAACCAACCATCAAATTAGTATCTTTTTGCTTCTTTAAAAAGAAACTGTTAACAAATATTTTACTTGGTAACAGACTCTTCTCCACATTTCAGTCTACCCCAAACATTCATAAGTATTTTCACAGACCAAATTTTATGAACAATGTTTCTCGCTCCTTAAATTAATTTTTAAATGCGATTCTACGTGACCAAAATAATATAACTGCAAATTACCCTTGATAGATTAGTTTGACCTAGTTTAGGGTTTTTGCCGTCGACAGAAAGCTCGGTCAAAGTTTCGAACTGTAATTAATTTGTATGTAGATTATAAGTATATTATTTATATCCATGCATAAAGCAAAGCGGGGCGCGGAAATGCGTTATTTTAACTAAAGGATAACTGCACTAATTTTATTATGCATAAATAAAATGGGACACAAAAATAACACTGATTTACTTGTCGAAAGTAAACTAATTTTGATGTGTATTTCAGTTTTTATTAATTCAGCAGATAAATAGGTTCAAAAAGGTTCAATGTTTGTGGGAAAACGCGTTTCAAGCTACCAGAAATGAACTTGTTATTTTTGGCACCTTGATGGCACTAAATTATTAAATAATCCATCAATAATTAATTATCTATATATAGCAAAAATAAACAAATTTAAAATCGATACCGGGTAATATGGTAGTTTCTATTTTCGTACCAAAGTCGTATTTATTTATAAAACTTTGCTGCCCCATCCCATTATGCTTATCAGACGATTGCGTGCCTCATAACAACTAAATTAGGATTCTATATCAAATTCAAATATATTCGGAAATTTGTGAGAAAATAAAAATACTATCGCCACGTGGATAATAAACTTCGCAGCTGAAATAGATTTTACCTCGATTGGGTCATTGGAATCATATAAACCTTCACTAAGCTGCCGGAGTTTGTGGAAAAAAAGTGAATGAAAAAGTAAAAGAATCTTTTTTGTGAGCCATCGATTGTGAGTCAATATCAAATACAAATGATGGAATAATTCCAACGCTTAAAATGTTGCTAAAAGCGGCGCAAAATCAATACGGACATTTTCGTGAGTTTTAGAATTCCCCAGTTAGATGAACCAAAATCTATAGAAAGCCAAATGGAATCTGAACGATGATCGACAAATATTAAATCCAATAATAGAGAAACTGTATTTCGAAGCAGTTTTGCGATAAGAGAACTAAAAGCAATTCACTACTTTCGAGCCGCAAAAATTCCCTCTAAATTGGAAAGGAATCCATTGATGTTCTTGTTATATATATAACTTACTTATATATATGTTACTTACGTTACCTGTTACTGTGTTATATAGCCTGTTATATATATATAAGAGAGACTATATTGGAGACTATAAAATATTAAAATGTATTGATAATATTAAATTTTTTAAAGAAGTTTCCAACTTAAAATAGACGAACGAATGCCGTCTTCAGCTTTGAAAGTCGATATTCGCGTTACGTTCGGAATGACATCTTTTAATTCCATAGTCATAAATTATACACCAGCCTGTACAAACTTGCTGCTTATAAGGAGCAGTTTCAACTATTCCCATCAATGTTTTATTCTTTTTCTTGTGCAGTCACTACTACGCCATTTCATTTCATATTTCTATGAAAATCGGCTCAATTTCGCGAATATTTCAGATAGCAGCATCGGCTGTAAAACCCGGTCTATGTAAATGTTCAATCAATCCGTAAAGAAGAAAATGTTGTTTCAATTAGATCAAATTGCGCTCATTTGAGTGTGCATACTAGTGATATGGACACTTTTGTTCAGTTACATTTTACGTTTTTTCTCTTCTCTATCTATCCAGTTTCGTTAATTTGGAACACGGAAATACCGGCAATTAATTGGGTCATTAAATTTCATTATATTCATTAAATTTAATGCAAAAATTCCTGGCGTACCGCAGAAGAAAATATATTAGCGAAACTGAGCTATAAAGCAAATGTTTGAAGCGCTTTGCTTATCGGCTTCCTGGAGTTCTTCCTGGACGTTATCTTGAACAATTTAAATAAGTTTCGTGTATATCAAAAATGTATATTTATCGTTTCCGAATTCTCCACTGGGGCAATTTCAAGGCATTTTGAAATGTGATCTAAAACTGTTCATGGCGAAAACAACCTGTACCTACTTACAAATATTCCATTACAAAAAAATTTTAATTTACTGCCTCTTTATCAAATAATTTGTTTTTATTTGTCAAGACTGTCTGCTGATATTGATGTTCCAAAAAGTTCGAATATAATTCATTAGTTGAACTGAAATAAGCAATTATGTAATAGTTGACTAAAAATTCAAAGTAACAACATAATACATATAACTGTGTAAAAGTATACAGAAATAGTTTACGAGGCTGCTTGTGAATGCAGTCATCGAGAAAAACCTAATATTTTCTCTGCGGCATTTTCTTTCACATTATCGAGAAAATGAGATTTCAGTTCTAAACCTTAAACTGAAAAGACGATTAATAAATCTGGAACTATGGGATTCAAGGAAGATTTTCGAATTCAATTGTCTGCAAAAGTGAAAATTATATTTATCGCCTCCGGATCTTTATGGTCATCTTTTATATATGTGCTGACGAAACAAAATTTGATACAACCTATTCTGGAAATTCTTGCATTAAATCGATTACAAAATATTGTAGACCTTTTGTGCAATTTTCCCTCTAAGCACTAAGAGATTGTGGAAGATCGAAATTGGATGCTCATGCCATGAACTTCAGAAACTCGCATAAAAATAGAATCAAAACCAAAGGCAGTAGCTGATGATTTGGAACGTATGTACGATTGGGGGTTCTGGCATTACTATAGTTGGCTCACAAAGCTTCAAATGTACTTTAAAATATTTATACGTATTTTTATTACTTATTTTCGACTTAACTTTAAACCATATTTTCAAATAAACAAACCATACAACAATAAAAATATTAATATTTTCAAAAGGTATCAATCGGCTATCAAGCGTAAGTCAATTCCGATAATGCAGATCAAAATGCGCTAGAGAATAAATTAAATATTTTAAATTGATTCGAAACACCGTTAGTGCAATCGGGTTGTTTGCCGAGTATAATCACGAATATACATTGAAATGATGAGTCGACATTTACCTTTTCTTTTTAAATCTCATGGTTTAAAGGTTTCGATTAAGTGTCTCGTCCATTCTATTAATAGCATTTCCCATTAATAGAATGGAGAAAACGACATGTGGAAACCTTGATATGTCTGTGAGGTATAAAAGCAGTTTTAAGATCTCAATATCTAACGGGCAAATTCCCTAAGAAATGTAATATCAATATATGTATACCAGTCTCAAAATTGTTGATCAACAATGAGAGGGCGGTACAAAGAAGCTGAAAAACCTGACTTGTAGCCCATATAATTTAACAGGGTTAAAAATCCTTTTTATTCTTACTTATTAAGCCGTTTATTTGGCGTTAATGCTATTTTAGTAACAAAAGTAGCTCACAGATACTCGTCGTTTTTTAATTATAAACTTGTGCAAAATCCTGTTATTGTGGAAGCACGGTAAAAATTTACATTTATAATAAGTACAGATCTAACGGTCTACTTAATTTGTAAATATGATAAAGCTGGATAGACAAAATAAATAAATTATTTTTGGCTACAAAACGGTAGTTTGTTATGTAATAATTACATAATACAGATTTTCAATACATCTTCCCTCATTTGAGAAAAATGCTTTTATAGTTTTTCAAAATAATGTAGTTTACAATCCTCTATTATGTAATTATAATTTAATAAAGCCTAATATATGGTGTGACTGAGAAATAGACGAGTTGTAGATCGATTCTCAGAAGCTGGTTGGGCACAAAAACAACTAATCAAAATGATTTGATTAAGTAGGGAATCAGGTATTTTCGGGTCCAAATCAAATGGAAGAAGACCACTGGATTCCTCGCACTGCTGGAGAAGAAGTACTAGCCGCAGTAAGTTAAGTTATTTAATCCGAACATCGGTATAGGAAAATTGTCGTCAATATCACATATGTCGCAGACTATCTTATTAAAATTCCTAAGGGACAACTGTTCAACCAGTATTGTTCAAAAAGTGTATTTCATGCTTGACACGGATTCTCAGTGTTACCCAAGCCTAGTCAAGTTACTAACTGGTCATACAAAAGTGACTTTTTGGAAAATATTTGATCAAGAAACAAATAGCTTTGCGTCTTTATACCGCCATTTGACCATGGGCGTCATAAGAAATGCTAAACTAAAAGAACAAATGTTAGTACGAGTTGGGCACTATTCGAAGATAACCATTCGCATGATCTTAGAAATTAAATTGTAGAACACTAGCATTAATATCACATGTAGGAAGGAGCTTCTACATTAAAGCCAGCACTTTCCAGAATGTGAAGAACCGGGTTGTTTGGGGACTTACATCTAGTTTTGAGCTTGTGTTATGTGTGTGTTATGGACGTATTTATATATATATTTTAATATTTAATTCAATGAAATCATATTCTATCCTAAATATATTGTTAAATACGTTTGATTGAAACAGACATAATGCTCACTGCAATGAATGAAGCATTGTTGAAAGGCATGAACAAAAACAATATTGTACGAGTAAACTAAATTCCAAATTGCGAAAAAAGATTAATACACCTACTGCAGAACATAAATTGATCCCAAACAGCCATCAAAACGTCCTAAAAGTTTTGTTATTAAGACTGTTAAGAATTGATGAATTTTCTCAGAAACATTATTACCTTAAACAAGTAACTATTTGAAATAAGCAAAACATTTCAAAGCCATAGAGCACTTCATTAACGACAACAAATAAAATAGCAAGAACAGTGCACTAAAATGATTGAGAGTTTAAACAAGAACATTTATTTTCTGAATCGGTTACAATAAATCAACGCAATTTATACCGGAGCTTTGTGTACCAACGTAAACCAGTTGCCGCATTCGCATCTCTTTGGTTCCCCTTTATGCAGCCACATCCAATTTATACTGGTCGATCCTTCCTCGCAAACGCAACCAACCAATCTGGCATCAAAAGCTGACGGAATCTCGTTAGGTTGAGCTTTCGTACCCGCACCCCTTTTGAACACTTTATTGGCATCAAACGGATCATCATTTCCTGCCAGTTTAGCCAGAAGTTCACGTTTTTCGAGTCCGGTGGCATGCTCTATAGGGTCTCCTAATGTTACTTTGCTGGAGAAATTACGCCCGGTCGATCGAAACGCAAATCGTTTAGCGATATTCATCCATATGAATGCCATACTCGAATCAGTTCGGAATATGAGTCGTTTCTCATTTAATATTGACAATGTTGACAATATCTTGGGACTGACAAACTCCTTGGAAACTAGAAGCGTCAATTAAAACTTCTAGTTTCCAAGGAGTTTAACTTAACTTGTCACTTTTGCTGAAGAGTTGTCATAGAAATTGAAATCGAACGTAAGTTTATGTATCTTGAAAGCTGGCTGCAAGCCTTGTTTTAGTCACAATCGTTATAGCAAGTGAAGATCAAAATCATCTGGGGTGACCAGCAGAAGCAACGAATTTAGTGTTAAAGGGATAAAGCACAATTGAAACTTGGACGCAGACATGAACACTAATGCTAAAAGATTACTAAATTAATAATCCTAAAGGTTAAGTCTGAAAAGCATGCCATTTATTAGAAATAATATTGAAATTCACTGAATGACTTCGAATCATTTGTACTCTGATTATTTCTTCTTATAGGTACCCTTAGAACGTTAAATCATCAGCTTCTCAAAATTGTCCATTTTTTAAGAACTAATTTTTTTCAAATTCTAGTTCCTTTGGGTTGTACCGGAAGTATCATGATTCGGTTTTTTACATATATTTCATATTTTAAAATTTTAATTCAAGTATCTCATATTAAATGCAATTGACGAATGGTTTAGATCTAGAATTTACCAGCATGTTCTTCAATTCTCGATGTAAAACACTTTAAAGAGCAAAACACAGTCATATTTTCAGTATTTAAACGTCGAAATTTATATTTTTTCTTGTTGAAATAAACAAATTCAAACAGGTTTGCATCAATTCTATAATTGAGCGTTATGATTGCAAAATAGCCTTAAATTCAATTTATCTGAAAGCACGCTCGGGTATTTATTTGTTTATTATTATTTAGCTAATTTAGTTTTCTGCAGTTTTGATTTTGATTATAATTCAAGGAATTTGCAATAAGCTAGTATTTGATAACAATATAGTAAATTAAACTCAAAATACTAAAATCGTTATAGCAGTTTGACACAGAAAATATTTAATAACCAAAACAATTAATAAAGCAATGAGTTTTTAATCAAATATCATGAAAGAAATAACATGAAATTAACACATAAGAATATTCAAAATTACCGTGAGATGTTGAAGAGAATTGCTGAGAAACGGTTTTTTGAAAATTTCCGAATATTGAATTTTGCAGCGTTCTCATAGCCAAGAAGAAAGTGCAAGGCATCTAATAATTAGCAAAATGTGTAAGATTTTTGAAAGGTTTCGGTCCTTTTTCGAAACACATGTGTAGTATGCAAAATTTTTCCGTTATAAATATAACATGAAACAACGTGAAAAGAAGCAAAAACATATTAATGGTATAGGATTTTTCAGAAAAAGTGGAGTTGAAGGATTATATAAATAACATTGCCACTTTATACCTAGTGAAAATTCCTATTCGGATACATTTTTGCCTTTCAAAACATATTACAAAACAATTTGAGGGACAACTTTCACAAGTGTGCAATTATCCAACAAAACGCGGTTTTGAGAACAGAAGAATTCAAAGGTTGTACAAAGAATTATTTTCTTGCATTGGTTTCAAAAAAACATCAAATTCATTGAATAAAATTCAATGTTTGTAAAATAAGTTTACTGAATGAGTCAAAGAACGCCAGCTCAACTAGGCTCAACGATCAAACTCCTTTATGATTCGTAGATACAGAGGTCTGGTTATACCTAATAAATATCAACAAAAAGCTTTTGAAAAAAATCAAGCTTTGCTTTGAAATCAGATAAGAGAAAATCAATTTCAAATTATTCATGTCTGCCACGCATTGAAAACACGGTCTAGACGGTGTGTTTAACAAAAAACATACTCAAATTTATTATGTAAATGGAAGCTATGATTAAGTATTAGTTGAGTAATTGTGAAACTCATTAGGTTATTTCAGATTTCCTCTTTTCTGTTGTTTTCGTTTTCTTTGTTGTCAGTATTATCGTTAGTTTAGTCGATAATTACCTATTTACTTAACAAACACTTTAACATGTTCGGCATTACAATTGATAGTTCTAAATCAATTTCTTGATTCTAACTGCACTTTTCGAATGTTTTTTAAATGCGATGATTTGGATATGATTCTTGCTTTGGTTTTTGAGGAACAACACAAAGTAATACTCGAATTAGCTTCTAGAATTTTCAATTAACTTCGCTTTAGTTATGCTTTGTTGTAAAATTCCAATCAATTCAATTAACATGTTTGGAATTTACGAAAAGTTTCTTTCGAAAGTAAATTTCGGACTTCCGTTTATATGAACGTTCCTTCATGAATTTTACAAAAAACATGTTGAAGTAGTTCGCATATGCAATTTTGCGAAATCTTGTACATGGGAACTTTCAGCACTTGCTCTATAAATGTCGTATTGCTCGTTTTGACTTTGCTGTTTTTAAATATGTTTTGTTCTTGTTCTTGCGTTATGTTCTCATTGATTTTTTTATCTGTATTAAATACATTTATATTTTATCTTCCAATATCATCAGTTTGTTATTGATTATAAAACTAAAAATACAATCTACAAAACAATATCTACAAAAAAATAAAAAAAGTGTAATTGTTTCTATACTTAAATTCAGGTATGGAAAAAGTGGTATTGCAATTTTTAGAACCTTCTACTTTTATCTGCGTCATTGTTTTGAGTTTGTGGATTGTCGGACGCATGTAGAGCATACATTCGTTTTTAATTCTTTAGCCAAATATTTAATAATTAACCGCAAGCTACCGAATTGTTCAACTACAATATTATTAAAATATTCCTTAAAACAAAATTGCACTAAATTTTCTCGTAATTAGTCGATTTGAGGGTGAAAGCAATGAAGCTAAACATAAAACTGTTAACAAAATTTAACTGACAGATTTATGTAAAAAGGCATATGTGAGTAAACCGTAAATAGACTAACATTATCGATCCTCAGCTCAGAAACTCACTTAAGTCCCGATTTTAACAATGGTATCTTAAGTTTGAGTTCAACTGAACCCAAACTGATTCTGAACTCCAAACGCATCAACATTCAATGAATGGGACGAGACCAAATTTACATTTGAACCTGTCTTGAACTGAGATGTCTTCCGCTAGCTTATATAACTAAATAACTAAGTATCATCATATTACAGTACAATAATCCTTCCAGTTTCTGTTCTAAACCTTATAATAAATTGGACGTGATCTTGCCATTATTACTGATAATTTCGAGTTCACCAGCACTTTTCACGTTTTAAAATCACATTGCAGAAACGGAATATAAACTAATAAAAACTTTCCTTCGATCCATTCTCTAAAATTGGAGCAACATTTGATCAACTATTAATTTGAGAATGAATTAAACTCTGAAAGTGGCGAGTCATGTTACTACATGCCTGCAGAAAGAAATTTGTTTTAAATCGCATTCAATTCGGGAATGTGTGCGGTTCAGAAGCAGCAAAATGCTTTTAAATTTCGTTATCTGAGCGCCAGCATGCATCAAAATTCAATTTAGTGTCTATTATTGGATTTTATATCTTTCTCTCATCACTTGAATTCTATTCGGTTAATATCTAATAGTTTCGGTTTCACTGTACCAAGGATTTGGGAACCGAGAAAACGTATTGATTTCGTTTCCTTCGCGTGGAAATATTTAATGAGGAATGATGGGATAATAGATAATGATTGGTCAGTCATTTCTTATATACAGCAATGCTATTAAATCAGGTTGTAAAAGGAAAACTAATCGCTATATTAAATACTTGATTGGGGCGGCTGTCAGACGATCAATGTTATTTATTCAACTGTTTAAGAAATTATGAAGTCAATAGCGCAGAATGACAATAACTAAAAAATCGATAGAACGGCAGCTAATTGCCCCCAAAAAGGTCAACGCTGTTTTGGCTTGCAATTTTAGTATAACCGCAACTTATATGACCTCTCTAGAATCTGAATATTTAATAATCCTTTCAGTTTTCAATATAAATAAGTTTTCTGGTTTATATTAACAATAGTTACTTATTTTTTCCGAAAGGTAAGGAAAAGTTCGTGAAATAATAAATTTTGTCAGTCTGATCAAGTGGTCGTCCTTAGTTATCTTATGGAAACGAAGAAATTAGCGAGTTTTAGTGAGTGAATAATAATTTACAGCTTTTCTTCCCCAAGACACAAGTCGGAAAAGTGGTTAGCGACAGGATTAGCTATGAGCTCCTAACGTAAATAGGACAAAAAACTGAAAAATCACCAATTTGTGTCATTTGTGAATATTTTTGCTGAAATATGAATTGCAGGTGTAATAGATAAATACATGAGTGGCAAAACCTAACATATTCTGGAAAATCAAGAAATTTAAAGTTGTTCCGCGGCACTTCCCCCGAACAAAACAGCTTTGTTTAACTGAAATATGTATTTAAATTTAATCGAGCTTACTATATCGACAGTACATACTATTTGCATATTACTACTCTGATTAAACATCAAACGAGGGGATTATTCAAACTCGTAATTTTAAATATTCTATCCTGTAACAGTTTGCGTCTATAAAGTTCTGCTTCTACTGAAGTTATTTTTTTACAAGACTTGGTAAGTGAGAACGCTTATGTTTGGAACTCGCGTCCTCATACTTAGATATGCATTATTGATGATAAGTTAATAACTAATTATTTAGGCTCATGCTACAACACGAAATTATATTTGAATGAAATTTCCACTACATTAACTAAATTATCCATAGCTCGCGGAATGAATAAGTAGGCTAAATTAGAAATTTACCAATGAAGTAATTTGCATTTTTTTCAATCTATACAAACAATTAAAAGTTCTACATTCCTGGCCCTTAAAAGTATAACTACTTTGCAATTAACTTAACATTTCATAGACGAAAATATAGAGAACCTACAAGTACAGTTTGTATTAACATTGTAAACTGAACATTCAATTGTACAATGTCTAGTTCAAATTGAGCAACGAATGCATTTGATAAAAGCTTTTAAAATGTTTATAAAATGTTTTGGTAAAAGTGTCGTTCTTGCTACTTTAACCAGAAATGAAGTAAATACTAAAATAGAAACTAAATTGAGTACAAATTTAAAAATTGTAGAAAAA